TGTATAGAATTAGTTCAGATGTTAAATGCATAGAATTATTAACAGATCTCATGTTTATACTTCTTAGAAACAAATGCTAATTGTAGACTTCAAATTTCAAATTTGAAATATGTTCTATGCTAGAGTTCGTTAAAGACGTGGCAAAATTTAAACAAAACAAAAAAACAAAAAAGATAGTTTTCATTGAAAATTGAAATGCAAATAACCTTAGTAGATTTACATTTTGTCATTTTCTTCACGATGCCCCTTGGAATTATACTTTTAATCATCCTGTTGAGAAATGTACCACTGAGGTCTCTTCCCGAATAAAAACCGCTATCGAAGCTTTCTTGCCAGCACGGAAATAACAAGTGAAACCACAATCTTCTTGAGAATTTCCAGCCTGTTCAGCCTCAGTGGCCCACAGGAATCACTTCTTTCGAGTATACCAACGTGACAAATTCGATTATAACAGACGTCTCTTTGTAACCGCTTGTAATTAGTGTAACTGTGTTCTCAAAGAGGCAAAGTTACTATTCGCTGATAGAATGAGACACCGTATAGCCTCTCACAAGTTTGGTTCTAGAGATTACTGGCAGCGCAGTAAGAGTGTACAGAACTAAAGCAAATCCACAGTCACTTAGTTTGAAGCATTGTCATCTACTGTAGATAAAGTAGAATGCGTTGCTTGAAAATTCTCTTCCAACTCCACTCCCTACTCATCAGTAGTATCTTTGCCCTAGTTTTCTCCTAGAATATTGTCTCTACTGATTGATATGCACATAACTCCGTGCATAGTTTCTGCTATCATTTTTAAAATAGATCACCACAAGGCTTGTAGATTCGACGGTAACCATACAATTATCGTAAAGAAACGTATTCCTGAACTGGCCCCAAACGTTGTAATAAATGCTTCTTGCTTTTGAGCTTTTTGGAAGTCCTCTATATTTCTTTAAGAACTCTGTGGAACATTCTGATCCCTTAAATTATTGCTTCATCAGTCCTTTACTTCTTTTTGGTAAAGTGCTAGAGCCTCTAATCAATACCAAATTGGTTAAGCATCTCACTTTACAAGGCCTTCCTTCCGGATAAACAATATGGCTTCCGTTTCGCCATGTCTAACACTGATGTGTTTATAGCTATCACTGAATTTGTCTATCAAGCTTTAGATGAAAACGGCGAAGCTCAGGCTGTAGCCCTAGATATCTCGAAGGCATTTGATAAGGTTTGGTATGCTGTTCTTCTCCACAAGCTCAAGGTTACAGTGTCTCTGGACGAATTAGCTTAATCCACTCCTAATAAATCGTGCAATGAAGGTTATGTTGAACGGACACGCTTCTAGTTCCTTTCACATTAAATCGGGGGTCTCCCAGGGCTCTATCCTTGAACCTACGCTGTTTTGAATCTTCATCAACGAATTTATGCTGATGACACAACTATTTACTCCAGTCTTATTAGCAAGCCCGACAGGTTCGACAAAGTAAAACTGCCAACTGCACGCGAAAAGGACCTCCAATCAGTGGTTAACTGGGCAAGGAATGGCTGGTAAATTTTAATGACTCTAAAATAAAACTTCTTTGATTTAATCACCATAGATAACCTTTTCTGTTTAACATCAGCCTAGTTGATGCTAACCTCCAGGAGAGTAACACTTTATGTTTTTCATTGACATGAAGTGGAGAGATTAAAATGAGTCAGTTGCTAGGTCTGCTGTTAAGAAGGTTGGTTCCCTGTGTTGTGCAGACAATTTTTCTCATCAGAATCCATCTCGCACATTTATAAATCTACCATTCGTCCATGCATTGAATATTGTTGCCATATCTGGTCTAGTTCTCCTACTGTGTATATAGATTCAAGATTTTACTGTTGAACTAGCTAGATGCACCCGTATGCTCTATTCCAATATTTTTTTTTGTCTCGCACTCCCTTCCGATTTCTTACTTCCCTGCCACCTACAATCTTCAAAAAATTTAAATACAACGTCAGTAGCTATTTTCTTTATTTCTGAATCCCGTTCTTGTCTTTTCTCCTCCGCACTAAAGTCTTCTCATTCTCTTTCATTTCTAGTAAACCCCAACCTCCTAAGGGGCGAAATGATAAAAAAGTAAAATATGATGGTCTGTAATAAAATACACAACACACACCCATATATATATATATATATATATATATATATATATATATATATATATATATATAATGATAGCTTTATTTGACACTTTTTTTCAAAATCAAAGGCAAGATAAGAACTAACAATAAATTTTAGATTCAGAGATTTTCCTCATCTAAATTTTATTAAGACCTCTCATTTTTACGATTTTGATTGGAAAATTTTTCTGTTTCAATTGTAAACCCAAACAACTTATAAAATAAAATCACATTATTTAAATAATTATATTTACATTTTTTCAAATGTTAATTTAACTGAGCCTTTAACACTCTGAGAACCTTAAGGGATTTCAGTCAAGTGCAATTTTGTATCATTTATTAATGACTCCAGACGGTCATTATTATTCAGTGGTTGCAGGTTCACAAATACCACTTCATGATAGATTGATTAATTCTAACCAGTGTGTAGCTTCAACTTTGATGGCTGTAATTTCCCAACTCTGAAAGAATGGAAAAAAACAGTTTCTATTTTAATTTAAAATTTATCCCCACTTGTTTTTACATCCTGTTATTTTTTTGACAAATTAGCATAAAAAAAACAATCCTATAAATTCAAATAACTAATTTTGTATGTTTACTTACATAACGGAGAGAAAATAATGAGATCACTTCCAATTCACTTGATTTTATCATAAATACCGAACATTCTCGGGTAGAAGCTCTTGTGCTTCTCTCCCCCGCCATTCACGAGTTTCTTTCCGAAGAACCCAGTATTGTGTCATTGTACAAGACATAGATAAGTTTAGTCAATATCTATGAAGCTATCCAATGAGTAAGATTTCTGCTTGGTTTTTGTGCTGCTGTTAAAAACTTGACGTGGTCTAATTTGACACAAGGCAACAACTATGGGGCACCTAGTAAGGATCTCTTACTAACTAATAATAGTCAACCAGACTAGCCCGATAACCCTAAGCCGGCTTGCCTATATTTAGTAGGCTTAGCTTAGTATGGCCCAGGACCACGAGTATGAGGTACCCAGTAAGAAGTGAACTCACTATTTAATAATACTGATTAATCAGGCATACTTGCTATACGTTAGCTCACGCCGAGACGCCTATAAATAATTACTCGGCTTAATTTAGTTTGACACAAAACTGCAAGTATGGGACACTTAGTGAGAAGTGAAGTGAATAATTAATGGTTAACCAGACGAACTCACCACATGCCGAGACGACTCCTTGGTTTTTTGTTTTTGTTGGAGCTCTTAAAAAGTTAAAACAATAAAATAAGATAAAATAAAATAAATATAAAAACAAGAAATGAAAGCAAAACATATGTAATTCAGAAATCAGTACTTCATGGAAAACATGGAAGATTATACATTACGTACGAATTTCGAATAAATAATATAACTCTATTAGTACGAGTAATGTTTTTATTGGGACAGTTTACATGCAGGTCTTAGTATGTATTTTTAAGTGTGCTGTTTGGATACATTCTACAGTCCGTAAATTTTAACAAGCACTCAACGAATTCACCACAACAATGAGTATTATGTGAGTCTTTTTTTCAAAATCTTTTTATCCCACTTGAGCTTTTCTCCGATTACCGTAGTTTTTTTTCTTTTATTTTCAAATAGGAACATCCTATTTTATCTAGAGGAATGTTCTATTTGCCGGTCCCGTAAAAATTAAATGTACATTTAAAAGGTATTCATTTAAAAATAAAATAAAATAAAGCTGGGATAAAATTATTAGCTCTGTAAAAAATCTCTCATCGATCTTTTGTTAAAACGAGAGACAAAATGCACACTTAAAACATTTGCACACTCATCGTATTTCTAGTCCCCAATTAATTATATTGAATGACAATTAATAACTTTAATTTCTGTCAAAATGCTCCTTTCAATAAGTTCCATCAATTTGATTTTAGCTTGAAAAATGCTTTCCATACCAACAACTGAGAATTGTAATAGTTTGACAATAGTTTCTGATTATTATTGTCTCTGTGCGTAAAATGGCTGTCTGGGATGACTTGCAATTTTCCAGTGAAGAGGAGAGAGTTCATTATTTAATTTGTAAAATATCCCAAGTTATTTGTTCAAGATCAAAACCAAATATACCGAATAGGTGAAAATATATTTTCCTTTTTTTTGGTTGTAATTTCTAAAACAGGATTTAAAAAAAAAAAAAAAAAAAAAAAAAAAAAAAAAACAAGGTTAATAAGTCCTAAAAACAAACCAGTCAATTAAATCAAGAAAATAAACGTATTATCCAGAGACTACTTGCCTCAAAATTGTTTCTGTGAAGTTGAAACGGGTGCGCTTTCAAAGTCCTTATTTACACACCGACTGGTGATTTTTTTCCTGAGTGAAATGAAATATTGTTGAATTATAAACGTCTGTTGCAACTGTTGGATGAGGATATGAGACAGATCAGTTCTTTCTGAAGGTTTTATAACTTGATTTAAAAGAATGTACATTTTTTTTACCTGGATCATATATTTTATTAATCGTGCCTTTTACTAGTCTCAAATACCACGTACTCATCAAATATAAGCATGATTTTGTCCTTAATATTCGACATTTTTGTTTTCATTTCTAAAGTTTGCTTCACTCAAAGTCAGTTTTCATATTTAAAAAAAAAAAAGAAAAATTGTCTTGTCCATTATTTTTCTGAATTGAGAACATCCGATGAAAGGAATGGTTGAGAAAAGTTCAGGCATCGCTTAAGATTATAGAAGCAAAACACCTTTCTTATTTTATGGATCATACTTTTGAATTGATTCAAAATAATTGAGACCCTTGAAAGCACCCTTTTTTTACAATAATAATACTGACCATTTTCTGATCTTCATTCAAAGAAATATTTTACAATTTTATTTTATTTTCAATTTTTAACAAATCCGTTGATTTATTTCATATCAGTTACTGTTGAAAATGCACTCTTAAGATTTGCCCCGCCGGTAACGGCCCTGCCCCCATAAGATGTGACACTGGGTAAAAGATGCGTTGATCGTCGCTCTCCCGCGAAACACAGGCCAAACGTAAGATTCCAAAATGCATGACGGAATCCTGTATTGTAAAGGGCATATATAAGAGGGTTAAGAGCTGAATTAAAATAACCGAGCCAAGTAAGAGCCGAGAAGAGTGTTGGGGTGACATGACACTGAGTGCAGAAGACGTCGATGACATAGATAAGAAAAAATGGAAGCCAACAGACGACAAAACAGCCGACTACGATAGCAAGAGTTTTGGCTGTCTTGCGTTCTTTCATATAGAGGCTTCGCTCCACAACACGATTCCGACGTCGGTTTTCTGCAACCGACGCCTCTTCCGGCCCTGCCGGAAGCCTGGTTAAATGTCGCGAAGATGCTGACTCACCATCCAACCTTCTTGCTGCACTCGCAATAGCATCAGCACTGGAAGTTGTAGTAGTGGAAATAATGGATGTAGCTATGGAAGTTGAAACTGGCCTGTTCGATCTGGGAGAAGGACTTGGCGGTGTGATTTCCAGTGTGGGTCGGCAAGACTTTAGGGAAAGTCTGGAGGTCCTCGACGATAAACTTGTTATATATCTCCGTGGAATCATTCGTCGTCGATCGAGACCAAGCCGTCTTTTTAGCCGACCTCTGTCTGTATAGGGGTCTGTATTGTGACCTGAACGATCATACGATGGTTTTTGATTAGACGATGATGAGTGAAGCAGACGACGAGGAAGTAGTGGTCTATATCCGCTGGATATGTTATCTGATCGTCTGTTTGTCGTTGTTTTTGTCGTTCCGCTTTTTCGTGAAGAATTACATTGGCTAACGTTGCTGTGAGATAATGGAAGTTTCGTTGAATCTTTTTCATCTTCTCTGTTTGTTTTTATGTTGACGAGAGTTATGGCGGGTTCGTCTTCTTCGCCGGAGTTGAAATCATCATTAAAAGAAGCCGCTGGCGTCAGAAGAGGGACAGAAGCTTGCGTCATTGAGGGCGTCAAGGCAACGTTTCTTTCCGTTACGTCGGTGGCTTCGTGGTTGTCATTGCTTCGATAAAGCTGTTGGTGGTAGTGTGATTGCTGCTGATGATGGGGATAACAAGACGAAAAAAGTCTCAACTTGTTTTTACTTGGTTTGATTTTGTTATTGCTGCAAGTGCTGTTACTACTGTTACTAATACGACGATTATTACTACTGCCTCCGCCACCACTGTGTTCACTAGTATTTGTGAGTCTGACTTCATGTCTAGTTGGAGCTTGGTTACTTGTTCCTGGTATAGTCGTTCCTTCAGTTCTGTTGCAAAACCGACGGGATTGTGTTTTTGAGCAGCGCCTAAGTGACGATTTAAACCTCCGGAGAAATCCCTTCTCATTTCTGTGTCCGGTTATGCGACAATTGAATTCATCATTTTCAGTTGGGGCTGTCCTGTCTCTGATTAAAGAAGATGGCCTCTCTCCTGTGACAAGAGAAGTACTTCGAGAATGCCCGACAGTCGGACATGCGCTTGTCGGTGATGAAAGCGGTGGACCGTGCGAATTGTCCCCATCTACTGACGACGAAGAGACAAACTGCCTCTTGCAGACGGCGCCTTCATTATTACTCGACTGCTGTCGCTGGTGGCCATCAAAAAATGTCCTCCAATATGGTCGCAGACGCTTTTCTCTTTTGCTCGCTACATGATATATCCGGGCGTAGACGAAGAGCATTACTAAAAGGGGGATGAAAAAAGAACCACAGGAAGAATAGATGATATAACCGGGGTCACGGGTCAACGAGCAACCATCTGCTAGGTCACGTCCTTCTTCTTTCCAGCCGAAAATTGGAGGACAAGTGACCACAGCAGCCAGCCCCCAAGCTACGGCTACCATGAAGATAGCAAGTCGTTTATTTCGCCGTGTGGAGTAGATAAGCGGTCGAGTGATTGCAAAATATCGATCGAGACTGATGCAACAAAGATTCAAGATGGATGACGTACAGAGAAGGACGTCGGAGGAAACCCACAAATCACAGACGATGCTGCCGAACAGCCACTGACCCGTCACTTCGACAACAATGTTAAGAGGGAGGACAAGAATTGAGACGAGCAGGTCAGCTAAGGCTAGAGACACAACGAAGCAGTTGGTGACAGAACGTAGGCGACGGTAACGCCACACGGCCGCAATAACAAGAACATTGCCTATCATTGCTGCTAGAGCAATTGAACTCAACACCACTGCGATAAGACACTGCTCCCAGAATTCCCTGCCTCCAATAGGGCTATTTGCACTAATTTCTGGCGTTGTCGTCTGCGCAGTAGTTACTGAAATGGATAATGTTGAGTCGTTTATAAAAATGGTGTCAGTGTTGGAAACTTCTGGATAGGAGGAAATATGCAAAAAATAGAAATATTCTGTCGGAGCAGTTCGCGGTTCGAATCCGATGGTGACTCCATTTACAGTGTCAGCCATTGTGATTCGTCACTGTCTATTGCTGTTGCGTGCTCCGTTGAATTGTATTCGAGAGCAATGAAGTTACAGTGGCAAACCGACTAGGAAAGTTCAACAATAGTCTATCAGCATCTTTACCATACTTTTCAGTTTGCTAATACGACTAATGATCACGTTAAAAGATTTTTTGTTGATATTTCTTTGGCCTTCAGACGGACTCTTATTCTTTGTCAACAGAGCAGCGCCATCTATTTATACTTTCAGCAACCTTCGTATAGAAAAGTTACAACTACTGCACATTACGTATGACGCTAACATTACCGCAACTAACTCACAATCCTGTGGACAATAACAATACATCATTACGAAATTTTTGTATAAGGACGCATTTTTATTATATCTCATCTTATAGATGTATAAAACTCTGATGACTATAAAAGATATATATATATATATATATATATATATATATATATATATATATATATATATATATTTACTTCTTATGTATATGACTGTTTTTGACTGAGAACTTGTGAATGTTTACACCACATGAATAGATCTGGCAGAAAACATTTGAATGTACTGATTGCAATATAGGCTGGAAGTTCAGGCCACGTCAGACTTCTTGTGATAGCAGGAATACTTAATTATAAAAAAATAAAACTTTTAAAGATTGGAACACTAATCGCTTTTGTTATATTCCGTATATAGTATAATATATATGTATATAATAACAACACAACAGAATAATATTGGAAGAGTTACTTTTAGCACTTTCCTGTCAATTATTACTTAGTTTATTCTAATATATAACAACTAGAAATACGTCTAGATGTCGACCAATAACCCGAATTGTGCACTGTTGGTTTTTGTTTCATTTTTTCAGTTGTATAGCTAAGTTTTGGTTTTGTGCTTCCCCTATACATTTTAGTTGCTTTATATATATATATATATATATATATATATATATATATATATATGTGTGTGTGTGTGTGTGTGTGTGTGTGTGTGTGTGTGTGTGTGTGTGTGTGTGTTTATTTGCTTAACCGAATGCCTCTGTTTATATTAATGCGTGAGCAAAATTTGTGTACGTAGCTTGGGGAGGATAGGGTATTATAATTGTATACATGCGTTTTTATGGGATAGCTCAAGAACAGTTTGCCAGGTGTTGGCAAGATTTGCCAGATAGGTTTGCACGGTAAAAAAAATGTCCGGTGATTAGATTGTAGTATTTTTATTTACTTATTAATTTTTTGGACGTCGTGCAAAATCTGGCTTCAATAGGTCTAATCACATTTGAATTTCTTGATCTCATGTGTGACTACTGTTCGAAGCGTAATGGACATACCATTCGACACTTTTCGATTATCGATAAAAATCAATGATTCGATTTTGGTAGAAATATTCCAAGTTCAAACTATTCGGTGATTTGATTTGCTAAATGCTCAAAATTCCATACAAAATATTTTCTCGTCTTTTGATCGCTATATTCTTGTGCTCGTAATACAATTTTTACATTTTCGCCGTAATTTCCTGGCTTTGCTCAAAATTCCGTCCCATTTCTTTTCTTGAAAAGTCAACTGGATAATTCTCTTCTCGGCATCTGCAAATAAAATAAAATAAAACATAAATTTTAAACGACAAAATAAATTCACTCTAAACAAGTCTATCAAAGAATGGAATGCTAAATTTATCTTAAAATGCATTCATTGCATACTAATCTTAATTTTCCCCAATAGATCTGGAGGTTGCAACCAATGAGAATGGCAAAATCATTCCCCAAATGTCCAAGATGTATCAAAGCCAGGTTAACCGTCGAATTTGATGGGGGCGGACACTGTTGATCCCCAAATTGGCAAACTAACTCAATGAAGAAGAGTAAATATATCTAACGTTACTGAAGATACCAAAAATCAAATATTTTATCATTGTTCGATTCGTTTTCTACTGCACACCAACCCATTACAGTTGCAGTATTTTCAACAAAACCTCTGTGAAATAGACTCTGTCTTTCCTTATGGATTGCAGACATGAAGGAAGCCGAAAAATAGACTCGCCAAAAGTTTGTGGGTATCAATAAAAGCAACACAATGAATTCAAAGCCCAAACAGCTGTTGAAATGATAATAAATCATCTCCAAATTATAGACAATAAATTTACATAAGAATCTTGTGTACGACTTCGTTTACTGGTTTTCATGATCATTCTTTAAACGTGAATGCATAAAAATAAAGTCAGCATGAAATAAAACTATAATTGTTCTTAATGGAGTCGTTTTCTTTTGCTGTACAGTTGTATACTATATTGTGAAAATGGTAGTGAATATATCAGCCGTCTCATTTCATTCTCATCAAGGCGAACTACACTAGTGATTCTAAGTTTTGCTTTTCATTTTGTAGTTATTTTTTATGCAAAATGTCCTCATACTTTCTTTTGAAGAAGACTGTGGTAACACAGATAAGGCAAAGAATGAGTTCAACAACCTGAAGGACTACTGGAATGATGATTAACAAATTTATAAAAGGAAATACGAAGACTGGGTTAAAGTTTGAATCCCTCTTGCAATGAAAATGAAACTTCTCAAAATTAGAGAAAGGAATAAAATGAATGAGTTAAATAGCTCAGAAATCGTAATACTTAGTACAAATAAAACAGGGAGAGGTGAAACAGGAAGATATTGTTGCACCAATCTTCCAGTTAAATAATCAACTGAGACTAAATTCTTAATCATGACTTTACAATCGCCCTCGTAAAACGTTTACTAAGCCTAGCTTAGTTGGATTTTTTGCCATGTGATGATAGGAAAATTGTGTTTCGTCAGCCTTCTAAGTTGGGATAACCTATCTGCCTTGAAAATTAATATTCAAAATACTAGCCTTTTTCCCTCTTTGTCTTTTAGCGTTAAGAAATGCATAACTATCTCGGTCACAAAGTAGCTTGTTAAATGTTACCTAAACCTGACTTAGTTTGGTTCAATATGCCAATAACACTGGTCTACAGCAGGAAAGCTTCAAAATCAAATATAGCCAATCTTAGCTAAATTTGGAGCACTGGAAATAAAAATGATATCCAATATATGGAACCTTGGAGGAAAAATCTTCAGCATCCATCACTAGCTGAGTCAAAGAAAATTTTATTGTCTCTTACTTCACATCAAGTTTGGTCTTATGATAAATTTCGTGAAGACTATAAACAAAACAAAGGCAGCATTCAAGTATGTGCAGAATAGATTTCCCAGGATAAGGGAAGCAAAGACAAAAGAAGACATCTTTGCTGGTCCCTAGATTCGTAAACTTCTTTTGGATGAAAATTTTGACAGGGCACAATGGGGAAATAAAAAAAAATCTGCATGGAAAGCTTTCAAGTCAGTGGCAACCAACTTTCTGGGTAATGAAAGAGCAGAAAATTACAGAAAACTGCTGGAAGACCTCCTGAGGGCATACAAATATCTTGGCTGTAACATGTCATTGGAGATCCACTTAGACTTGCATCTTGATTTTTGCCATCAACTGTGGTGCTGTGAGTGACGAGCACGTTAGTCAATTTCCTTAGGATATTGCAGCAACGGAGAACAGGTATCACTGCAGAGGGAGTCCGTCAATTGTTGCACCAGAGATGATCTGTCTGCAGTTTATAAAAGACAAACTAAGAAGCGATGTGTGGTTGCTGAATAACTTCTGAAGAGACTATTTCGGTTGTATTTTATTCGATAAACACATTTGATATGTTTGTGTATTGCTCTAGTAGCCGACATAGAACAGAACATCAAAGCAGATTTTACAAAGCAACATTGCTTTTCTTGGGGTCATTAAATATCTCTAAGTCTAGAGACAATCATTTAATTTGAAGGTCATTTTCGAATTCAGCATGCCAAAATACATAAGAATTGGCACATTTTATTTCTGGAGTTGTCAACTTGTGAAAAATTGTAGACCAGTATAACTGATTGCATTAGTGGATGGCTCAAAATACTTACACAAGCAAGTGATCTGTATGACGAGCTTAAAAGTGGAGATGATTTTTTGTTTTATTAAAGTAAACGTCATCCCGACTGAATTGTCTTTAAAGAGGCAAACAATCCAAATAATAGTCGTTAAAATGCATTACCGTAAAAAGATGCGTATTAGCGAATAATTCGTATATGTTCGTTGGGATTATTAAAATCTTCTCCCCGCCCACTTCGATTATAAGTGACAGCTCCAGGTAATGACAATGTTTTTTTTTATGAGAACGAAACGGCAAAAAAAAAAAAAGAGCTATCGCGTTATATGTAAGCGATTTCGAGCGTTCTTGCACATGTTCAGTGATGCTAATAACTTTGGACTGACCTGAATAAAATTAATGAGTTAATTAAGAGAAGGGCTAGCAACAACGAACTTCTGGCTATGGTTGATTATTTCAATTATTTGCAGTTCAAGTACTTACGAAGCAAATGTAATTGCTTGCAATTCATCGCTCCTTCATCATTTCATTCAAACTGTTTTAATTAATTTCGCGCGTTAAATGCTTGTCCGAAAACGCGTTATAAGATCTGTAAAAAGTTTCAGAGTTCATAAACAAACTCGAATAATATATATATATATATATATATATATATATATATATATGTATGTATGTATGTATGTATGTATACACATTTGTGCGTGTGTGTATATGTATATGTGTGATGAACCACCTTCGACGTATGAGGGTCCAATAGTTCATCTCCTAAGCTAAACAGACTACTTGCACATATGATTTGATTATATTGCTGAACCTTTGTGCAGAACAATATAACATCCAAAAAGCCTTCCAAAATTTGTAGAATTCAGTATTTTCCTTCACCTTCTCTTAGACTAGTTGCCAACCAAGGCTACAGAGCCCAGTCTGGGCTATCACTTAAACCATAGTTGGTTTTTGAAGAGAAGAGATAGATTTATACCTTATATAAAATCAGATATCATTTTAACAGATATATTTACCAAAGATTGCACAAAAATATCTTGAAATGCTGAAGGGCAAATTTCTTCAATAAAATT